ATGAGTGGACTCCGACAAAGACCCTCCAACCTTATGCAGTGCCGGTACAGTTTTCTTTAATTATCTCATTATACTTCCTTAAAGATTGCAAAAAGAAACAATCTATTAATTATATGATTTGCTGTTTCTTAATTTCCTTTTATAAATTCCTTTTAAATTTTGTTGTTCCTGGTAATAAATTTCCTTTCAACCAACGATTCATTAGTTTGTTGTTTCTTAATTTTGTTATAGTTATGATTTGCTGTCCTCAAATTTCAATTTTTTTGTAGATATTAATTATATTAAGTGTCACGCATTTTCAAAAAATCTAACCATTGCAATTTCATCTTCTGCACAGGAACAGAAGCAGCCAAGAAAATGCAAGAAAGCAAGGGTGCATCCAAGAAAATGCAAGAAAAGAAAGCAAGTGTCAGATGATGAATACTCTCAACCCATGAGTCTCGTAGGTGGTAAAAGAGCTGGTAAGGTCCTCCGATCGAGCGAAAGGGTAAGGAATGGGGATGAGGCACAAAGTTCTGGGAATCAACGAACAATCATCTCTTGGCTGATAGACAACAATGTGGTGCATTCAGAATCCAAGGTATTCTGTTACAGTAGAAATAATGTGGTGAAAAATGGGAGGCTATTGCATTGTGGAAGAATAGCTTGTGATTGTTGTGGTTCGGTTTTCTCCATCGCTAAATTTGAGGCTCATGCTGATTGTACAAAGCACAGACCATCTGCCAGTATCTTCTTGGAAGATGGAAGGTCACTGTTAGATTGCAAAAGAGAAGCACTGAGTTCGCAACAAAAAAAGAATGATGTTCTGATGCAGAGCGAAAGTGGTTATGAAGACAGGAACAACAACATTTGTTCCATTTGTAGTTATGGGGGTAATCTAATGCTATGTGACCGATGTCCATCCTCATTCCACCTTAGTTGTCTTGGTCTTGAGAAAGTTCCTGATGGTGATTGGTTCTGCCCCCCATGCTGCTGCAAAATCTGCAACCGACCTTCATGCATAGAAGATTGTGCAGATAATTATCCGGATAACTGTTTTCTCTTCTGTTATCAATGCGAGAGCAAATTTCACCTTGGATGCGCAAATAATAATAGCTTTTGCAGTGTTGATTGTGGGGATATATTTTCCAGTCTACAGAAAATGATAGGAAAACCAATTCCAGTGGGTGAGGATAACCTAACTTGGACATTGTTGAAGACCGTGAAAAGTGATAACTGTTGCGAAGATCTTGAGAGCTTAAGTCAAATTGAAAGCAAGCTGAGTATGGCTCTTAGTGTATTCCACGAGTGTTTTGATCCAATTATTGATGCTCTCACCGGAAGAAATATTATATCAGATGTTATTTTTAGTAGAAGTTCAGAACATAAGCGTTTGAACTTTCGTGGGTTCTACACTGTGATTATGGAGAGTAATGATCATGTGGTTTCTGCTGCAACCATAAGGATTTATGGTCAAAAGGTTGCAGAGATACCTTTTGTGGCCACTAGGAGGCAGTTTCGAAGACAAGGAATGTGTAGCATCTTGATGAATGAGCTTGAGAAGCAATTGTGTCACTTAGGAATTGAGAGGATGGTTTTGCCTTCCACTGATAGTGCGATAGAGACTTGGACAAACTCATTTGGCTTTGCAAGGATGACAGATTCTGACAAGTCTCAATTGCTTGATTATGCTTTTCTAGACTTCCATGACACCACTATGTGCCACAAACCATTGATGAAAACTTCAATGTAACATTTTGATAGGATGTAAAGAAATCACAACATATGCAGTTTTATCATAATTAGATTGCTTCATATTTTTCTTTCATTTGTATGAGAGTTGTAGCTAGATATCTCAATTGTGTTATCTCTCCATGCTGCGATACTGACTTGAAGGGAACATCTCCATTTCCTACTTAATCCTAGTGTGTAGCGTCATAACTGCAACTTGAATAGCATGTACTAGACAAAAGAAAATGCAGAGTAAGAGAGCAGTTCTAAACCAAGGATGGTTTTCGATTTATTATGGTTTTCGATTTTAATTATACCTCATTACTGTTAGATATTTAGTTATGTTGAATGTGTGTATTTCATTGGGTACGAAAATTATACTAACTATTGTTTGTTGAATAGTTTGTTCCCTATATGTGAGTACTTCATTGTATGTTTATTTAATTTAGATTGAATGCTTACCTAAGCCAAAGAACCTAGGCTGTTATGTTACTGCCATGTTGATTTGAATTTGCTGCCAGGGATCTTCTTTATAACCTTGGCGGTTTTACGAGGGATATTACAGTGTAATAAGGTTAAGACAATGCTTGTTTCTTTTGCAATGTGAATGGGAAGTTGTTATTACGACACTGTTTATTTAAAATACACATGAAAGATTGATTGGGCAATTGAATGTAGAAGTATTGTGGTTGACTTGATTGTGTATGCTGCAAGAATAAGGAATGAACCCCTTGGAGAACCAGCTTGGTGCCGCTGTTTGGAAAAGTGGGGCTGCCCACTTGTATTGAAAGTGCTTTATGGTGAACAATTGTGTTTATTGTGGTGATTGCTTGTTCGTATGGAAAATTTGTGTGCAATTGGTTGTTATGTGAATAAATTGCGAAGATATTTTCTTGCACTGTGTCTACTTTATCTTGGACTAACCTTGTGCAAGGAAAGGGAATAAGATTTTTGAAAGAATCCATATATTGCTATTCAAAAATACGGAATAAACTTGGGATTCTTCAGCTTACTTAGTTTTTTCACCCCTTTTTGGGTTACTATTTTAGGGGGCTTGATAGTATGGGATATACCCCAAGAGAAGAGAGTTGGTTTATGTACATCTGCCCCGAAATGGAGGATAGATCAAATGATTGTTTAATGGCTGATAGGCAGAGTTTTTACATGCATTTAGATGTTATGATTCTGTTATGGAGATATAATGTGGTTATGATTATATTTTGATATGTTATGTAGTGATGTATGTATATATCATACATGTCATGATCAATCATGGTGTTGTACCTAAAACAGTTTGGGAAAACTTGAATTAAGAGTATGTTACCTTATTAAATGTTCAAGTATTGGACAACATCTTGTAGGCTCAATTTTAGAAGGTATATTGGATAATGTTGCTTGAAAAATTAAATGCTTGTGGTTGTTTGAGACAATGGCTTCTTTCAGAAACGATGTATTTGTGATGAAGTGAAGTAAGCTTGAAACTTGCATAAGTTTCCAAAATTGTTACCTATGTGATGGGTTGCTCTGTGTGTTGGTTAAATAAATTTAATATACACCATAAATTGCTATTTTTCCATTTGGGATATCATAATGTGAATGCATGTACTATTATTGATTCGGTTAAAGTACCATCTAGTTTGCTTTTGCATATTTAAGCAATGAATATGTGAGTGAGGAAGTATTTTTGCTGTATTTTTGGCTTATGTGGGTATTCGATTGCTTATGGATTCAAAGATATTGGATATTGTATAATATGTATTTAGATACTTTGTGTTATATATCTGGATACCACATTGGAAGAAAATATTTAGATAAACAAGATAACTCATCTTGTATTTCAGATCTTTTTCTTTCCTAATCAGAATAGTCTAACGTTCCCCTTTTATAGTTAGAAGTTTAAACTTGTATATTTGTTTGAAATGTTTGCTGTATTTAAATCCTATTTGTTTGAAATGTTTGCTGTATCAATAGTTTAAATCCTATTTCACAAATATAAGGGTCCATTTGATTTGTTTAAACATAATACAATGGAAAGCAGAAAACTTTTTGTCCAACATTTTAAGGAGATAATTTTATTTTTGACATATATATAAAAATATTAAAAATTATATTTATTTTTTTCGTTTTTCTTTCTTTTACATGGCCCACATGAAATTTCCACGTATATATCTATAAGATAAAATTATCTTGTAATGTTAATCCCTAAACATTACGGGACAAAACAAAATTAAGGGCACTGCACAAAATAAAAAATATTTTTTCCTTGCCAAACCATGGGATACTTTTCGTCCCAAAAATCAAAATCACCCTCTCCACCCAACAACTCTCTCAATCCGGCATGCCTCTAGAGCTGGCAAATTGGAGAGCTCGCCTCGCCCCATCTCATCTTATCCCACCATCAATTCGTAAAAAAATGAGCCAGTTCATTCGGCCACGCTTTTGAAATTAGACTGAAAAACTGCCCGTCCCATTTGGCGGATTGGATGGGTTGGCCTGCCAGCCCGAGCCAATTTTATACTGACCTGCCTCGGTCCTCCTATGCCTGCCATCAACCCGCCAAAAAATAAGTCGGCCCCGCCTTGCTCTTCTTTTGAGATGGATTGAAAAACTTAGCCGCCCTACCCCATTTAGCAGGCAGTGTGGGTTGGCCTACCGAGCCGAGCCCGTTTTGCTCTAATGCCATCCCTTTTTTCTGGGCTCTTGCAACGCTGCATACTATGTAACACCGATATCGACACGGGATACATGATACGATACGACACGACACTCCGACACGTTAATTCTAAAAAATATTAGATTTCGACACGTTAGGACACGTTTTGATATTGAATAATATTTTTGATTTATGTTGCGTATATTATATTTCATATTCAATAATTTAACAAAAAAGAAGAAGCTAAACTTATAATACCCATTAATTTTGCAAAGAAACATAAGATATCGCAAATATTTATATTAAATTCAATAAAATGGTAATAGTAATTTAAAGAATCTAATAGTTAGAATTAAAAATGCAACGCAACGCAACTTTTGAATCCTTTTTTAGGTTTCTACAACACACGTTGAAGTGTCGTGGAGTGTCGAACTCGACACGTCGGGATTTTTTCCAAAAATCAAAATCACCCTCTCCTCCCAACACCTCTCTCAAACCAGCATGCCATCTAGAGCTGGCAAACTGGACAACTCGCCCTGCCCCACCCCACTATCAACCCGCCAAAAAATGAGCTAGTCCATCCGAATTGGGTTGAAAAACTTGGTCCGTAAGCCCGAACCTATTTTAAAATATTTAATTTAGGGGTTCATTTTTTCTAAAGTTATTTTAGATAATTTTGTCTAATATTTCCCAATGCAACGTCATTTTAGGACAGAAATTACGGTGTATTTATAATTTTAATTTATTTTAAGTTTATAATAGTCTTTATCATTTTAATTTTTTAACCATAAAATGTCATTACGACGAATATTAGACAAAATTGTCTATAGTAATATTAGATATTTTTTCCCTTAATTTAATTATGACTTGTGATATTTTTACAAAATTTAAAAATAAAAATAATTGATTAGAAATTAAATTTGTTAAATATCATAATAAATGAAAAACACTTGATTGAAAAGATGTTATATTGTTAAAATTTATTTTCTTGGCAAAAACTACATACCTCTATCATAATATATTACACATTCAAAATAAATATTTTATTTATGGGAAATGTTATACGTATTATGTATTTTTTTATTATTAAATTTTAACCGTTAATTTTTGTCAATTTATTGGTTGTAATTTATTATAAATTAATAATTAATTAATAAGTATGACTCCATAAATTACAACCGTTAGATTGACGAAAATCATCGATTAAGATTTGATAGTAATAGATAATAAGAAAAATACGTAATAAGTATAACCTCTTTCTCTTTATTTATAATCATTTGAAAAATATAAAATTTAATTAAAAAGTATTAACACGATTAAAGAGTTATAAATAAAATTAAAGTGCCCAAATAATAAATAAAATTAAATAATATATTATATTCTTAAGGATTAATATGTCTATAACCAAATTTTTCAAAAATGAATTTAAGGTTTTTTTTTTGGTAATCTGAATTTAGGGGACTTACTCTTTTTTTAAAACTGTAAAGAAAAACTTATTATAATCTTCTTCTTCTTATTTTATTTTTTTTTAATCTCCTCATTCAAATGCATTCTAGCTTATTTAACCTAAAAAAAAATGTTTCACAATTTCGTTTCTTTGTTTTAATAGATTTTTTTAGTTTTTTAAAGTCATGATCTTGGTGGGGAAAGCCTCTCATAAGAATTAATGTTTTTATAATATAAAAAATAATTTAATCTCTTATGCATATAAAAATGTATGTATCTATGAAAAAAAAAAAAAAACAGCAAGAACATACCTCCATACATGTGTAGTGTTATCTCCTGTTAAATGTGAAATTAATCCCATAGTTAAGGGTGCTAAACGAGCCAGGGGCCTTGCAGGGGCTTTTGGCTCGACTCGTGAAGGTCTGCCTGAGCTTTTATGTCTAAAATTGATTGTTAGAAGCAGGCTAGGACTTGTATAAAAGCTCGTTTAATAAAAAGGTCTCAGGCTCCAATTTAAAAGCTCGGTCTTGGAGCCTCTCAGGCTGGCCTAATATATTAATTTTTATTTTTATTTTATACTCTTTTATACTACTTGTGATAGCTCTCTCTCATCAATCCATTTCATTCCATTTTATTAATTAAACAAACTTTTTGAATGATTTTGTTTTATATTATGCTTTTTGGATATACATTAAATTTACGAATATTTATGAAATTACTAGTATTGTTGACTGTATATTTTGTTTGGATAAATTTTTGTTGTCTTGTTTTGTTTTAAACAGGCTAAATCAGGCTTTAGTTTTTTGTAAATAAGACAGGCCGCAGGCTGAAATTATATTCATAACAGGTAACAGGCTTGGTCAGGCTGACACATTTAAACACAGGCTTAGCCTTTTAAGACTAAAGCTCGGTTCGGCTCGGCCCGTTAACATCCCTACCCACAG